ACAAACAGACCTTTTTTTTTTTAGATCAAATATTTTATAAAACTAGAGACTTTCAGGGCTTATTTCTAGGGGTCATGCTAGGTTTCACCTCTACTATCAAAAAACCAAGATGTGCAATATTATGCTCCATCATCCAACCCAGCGAGAATGTTTAAGAATTGAAGGCAGAGTGTGTGCTTATACAATTCCCTCTCTCTTTCAATAACAGTAAGCCAGTCGTGCTGTTTACTCTCCATCAAAGTCAGAGCTTGGAAGGTATTTTTCTTCTGGAGCAGCTTCCCTGGTGTGACACCTGAGCGATGTAGCGTGGCTGTGTGTCTGTGATACGCCAAGCCAATTTACAGGCTCCGCAGGAGAGCTGTCGCTTCTCATCACAGCTCACAACCACAGGACACTACCTCACTGTGTCCTTTTTGCTCCTGCTCTCTGCCCCCAAGTCCTCCAGGGGCAAGTTAAAGCTAAAATGTTGTTTATTCATAGTAGTATGTTTTGAACTTTGAATTTTATATAATAAGCTGAATTAGTGATAAATTGATCATTAGTAATGCACAAATACACTTCAGATGCCAGCAAAGACTTCCTTCTCATTCATAAGTGCAGATATGTACATATATAAAGCCTATCTTAAAAAAGGATGAGGACTACAGTACAATCCAACTACAGTTGTCATTACATTAATCCTCTTTAAATGAATCACATGTGCCCGCTCTAACGCAAGTTAGTGTATAACATGCTTTTATGGTCTGTATCCAAGACGGCAAACATAATCGACTGACACACAAAACACAGAGCCCTAGATCCCCGCTCGTTTCCGATCCTCTGCCGTTAACTAATGGTACTAATTAGCAAATTAGCCTTATTATATCCAGAGAAGGAGCCAATTTTAATTAAACCGATTTTTGTTTTGACAAAAAAACGCCCATTCCTCCATTAACATGCATTGAGAGGGAAGCACAAAAGCCCCATTGTTTATATTGAGCTTGGAGAGGCAGTGTGAAAAGCTGGCAGAGTGTTTGCATGGCGAGCTGGAATCAGTGTGCATTCGTACATGTGTGAGAAAGAGAAGGGACGGAGAGAGAGAGGGAGACAGTGTGTTAGCAGCAGGTTGTTTTGTTGTGGCCCAACGGCCCGGCAGCCAGCAGATGTCTTAGTGCTTCTGGGCCTGGAGCGGCTCTCCTCTGAGCCTCCTCTCCAATTGACTCATTTACCCACAAAGCAGTCTCCTTGTTCCCTTCCGACGTAATGGACTAATTACTGCTTTAATGATTCTATATATCCGTTCCTCCGCTTTTTCATTTAGTTTTAGGTGCTTTTGTACTTGTGCACATTTTTGGTTTTGTTGAGAAAGACGAGCACTACAATGCAGATGCCCGTTCGAACTTCAATGTGGGGATTTTAGTGTTGGAATTATTTCCTAATAA